CTATTCATAGCAGATAGTTTCATGAGCCATGAAAGCAAAAAGGTAGTTAAAGGAATGTTTTTCAGTTCCCTAATCTCCACTGGGGATTATTAAATGAATTAAAAAAGAAAAAGAAAAAGCAAAAAAGAAAGGGCTGGGTATTTAGCTTAGTGGTTCCACTGCCTGCCTCGCAAGTGCAAGGTCCTGAGTTTGATCCCCAGTACCAAAAGAAAAAAGAGAAGACGGAAGCAGGGAGAAAGGAAGAGGTAGAAGAAAAAAGAAAGTTAGCATAAGCTATTGACCTTGGTGAAACAGTGGAAACATTTTGAAACTGTGTCTTCCATTAACCCATTCACTTGAATATGTATGTGACTTTCAAAACCCCACACCCAAGTCATCTAGTTTGTCGATTAGGAGAATCAATAATGAAATCTCTTAGTATCTAAACTTTGAAAGTGCCAGTTAAGTCTACTAGGTATATTGAAATTCATTTATTTTACAGTGCATACTACCACTTTGCTTTTCCAACCTTCAAAAGTACTTGTGCATGCTAACAAAAATGGCCTTAAGATTGACAATATCTTATTGTCACATATGTATCACTGAGAAAGAAATTGTTTGTAGGTAATAAAATCTATTAAAAAGATTTTTATGTTTTGGGTACCAGGGATCAAACTCGGGATCTTGCACTTGTGAGTCAGGTGGCAGAACCACTGTGCTAAATCCCCAGCTCTGAAAAGATTTTATTAACAAAGATACAACTGTTATTGATGTCTTACATAGCCACAGACTGTGTATCTCATATTTCTGAGTAAATATTTGAATAAGATGCCATTTTACTTTGTACTGAGGTGCAACATGCCTTTCTATATACAGTGTTCTGTCCTCTGCAGTCATAGAAATTAATGAGTTCAGCTTTAAAGATGCTAGAGCAGCTGGAGAACTGAGTCCTGGGCTCATGTTGCTTACATAAACACACCAACTATGCTCCCATAGTAGGATTCAGAGCCTCCTGAGGTCCTGTAGCTATTTAATCTTCCAAAACACAGAACCAGAAGATGGCAGGATGGAAAGGGTTGGTTTCTGAGACTGTTTAAGAATTGCTGAGAAATATGAGGAAGGATTTTCTTCTCTCTCAAGGCATCTCTCACTGCTGTAGGTTACTTTTTCTTCTCTTTCATTTAGTTGTCTTACACGTGAAATTTCATCCTGGGAAAAAGAAACTGCAAAAAATGTTTTCCTTTATAACAGATATCTTTCAGTACCAACAATCTCATCTTTTTCACATATGTTATGCATTTGAAATGGAGCAATCTGTTTTCTTTCTTTTCTACCTAAACATATATTTTAGCTGGAGTCCCTCAAGAATCTTTATCTGAGACCTGTAGCCGTAACATCTCTCCTTATCCAAACTACCATTGCGAGGGAAGAAAATTCCCCCTCACATTTGCCTCAGAGAAGATAAAATCACATGGGAGAATCTAATCTATCATATGGATCTCTTTTCCAAACCTGTCCCCATGTCACCTATTACTAGCCTTTTTCCAATTTTAGGTAAAAACTATAAATCTGGAGTCGATGTGAGTGGTGATAAATGCTCTGAATTTTAGAATCCTATGGAAATGTGGCCGAATTTCTTTGCCTTCTCTGATTCTTTGTCATTGTCCTTATAATGGTAATAATGGTAATTTATTTTAGGGTTGTTGGGAAATGTAATGGATGGAGGATACTAAGAATAGCACCATAAGTATGTGATATAGTTGTTATAGTTAGTAAGGAAAAAAACTCTCTTGCTGATACACATGAAATCAGAATTTACTTTTTTTCTTTGGCTATTGTCTATATTTTATTTCTCATCACTTTCAGTATTTTCCCTATATTTCTACCTGAGCCAACCTTGTCCATTTTTATTTTGTTTTTACTTTGGTTGAGAGTAAGAATAAAGTTCCAAGAAATAGTAGTAGAACAAAGTGAACCCTGAGCTAAAAGTTACAAGAGCTAGTTTTATTATTTATTCAACCTTTTAAATCAAAAGAACAAGATGTAAACTATTTTTTAACACTATCTCCTGTGCTTCAGCTCCATGGTGCCTTAGAAAACATGAGAGAGACTGATTTACAATCACTTCGGGAAAGTTGCCTGTAGAACTCTTAAGGACGGGAAATGAAAAAAAAAAAAAAAAGTATAGCACACACCCCAGGACATTCCACACAACATGTAGTATAAACAAACCCAAAAAGAAACCCAAAAGCTCTTGGTCTTACATTAACGGGGCTCCATAAATGGCCTTTTACTACAGATGATGGTGTGCTGGAAAAACCTTTCAAATATGTGAAATTGATCACCATTAAAAAGAACAATGAATGTTGTATGCATTAAATATACCAATAAAATTAATCAAAAAAATAAAAATCCTTTTCATCTATGGCTAAAGCTTGTGTTTTGTTTTTGTTTGTTTGTTTGTGTTTTGGTATCAGGGCTCGAATTCAGGACCTTGTACTTGCAAGGCAGGTGGAGGAACCACTGAGCTAAATCCCCAGCCCTACTAAAGCTTGTTGAATGCTTTGAATTTAGGTACATTCCATTACCTTCATCAACATTATGAAAAAGAAATAACACATTACAGATCTTTGGTTTTGAAATTTTAACAGGACTAAGATTTTTCCAAGTGTCTTGTCATAATCTTGATTCTGATCCAGGAAATACGGGTAGGACATAGAATTCTACATCCTTCACCAGCTCCTGTTGCTGGCCTGTGGGCCACAGTGGTGTTCAGTCACTTTCTCCAACAAAATAATTGGTGGTAGTGTTCTGGTCTTTATCTGTTCAGCGATTGTTTTCAGTTGTGGACAATATTGGCTTCAGAAGAATTTGGCGTTGTCTGGAAACATTTTTTTCATCATCAAAAATTCTGTTGTTCTACTGACATCACATGGCTAAAGGCCAGGGATGTTGCTAAATACCCCTGAATACAGGATAGCCCATCATATAAAGAATGTGTCTGACCTAAAACGTCAATGGTACCAAAGTTGAGACACCCTGATATAGAAGTACTATGTTCTGTTTCTCTGCTCAAAAAATAGTTAAAATTGTTTTAAAAATCAATAAAACCTGTAAGTAAAGGGTAAAAGCATGTAATATTTAGTTTGGAGCAGTGGGCAGCATTTAAAAAAGATCTTCAAATATATAAAAACCTATTATGCAGAAGATGGTAACCAGCTGTTCTCTATTACACTTGAAGAACGAACAGGAAATGTACATAAAAGGACCTGTGCTATTACTCCTTTCTTTGTCCTGCCTCCTTCACTCTAGCCAGGCAAATCTCTTCATGTCCTTACAGCCATATTTGTCTCGTCCCATATCTTGCTACTTGTGGAGACCCTCCCAAATCTTGGGTACACATTTTCTTCTCCCTGCCAAATCTCATGTCTCCCACCCCTTAAAAAACTAGAAAACTTCTATCATCATAAAAATCTTCCTTACCTAACATGGAATAGTTGCTACTTCATCGCCAACTATAGTTGGCACGCTTGTCCCTTCCGTATGCTATCTTTCAGTCTACAATATGTTATTGCCTGTCTGTATACAAGGATCTGTGCTAAATTTCAATAAGGCATAAAAAGATGAGTAAGACAGAATTTTCCAAACTAGGGGGAAAAAAACCTCACATAGATAACTACAATTTAAACAGTGTTTAATGGTTATTTCTAATAAGAAAAAAATTTTAAATGGTTTTAATAGTTAGGAATAAGATTATTTCTAAGTAGTAGAGATCAAGAATTTACATAGATCCACAAAATATAAATTATCTTTTATTGTTTGTTTCCTTGAAGAATAAATTCTTTCCAAGTTAAATTAGAATCCTGTATATCAAATAAGCTTTTATTATTATTACTAAAATTTGAGTGTTATGAACTGGGATAGTCTGGATTTAGACTATATTTGTTGAAGAGTTTATAATATTAAGGGTTTTATGATTGGAGTGATTAAATCCATTCACAATCTATAAGACTAGAAAAGAAATTATTCAGAAGTGTGATTTTGACAAAGTAAATTAACTTTGATCACCTCTAACAACACCTTACACGATGCCATTGTGTAAAGCAGCATTCTTTGGGAAGAATTCCTAGTTATATAGTGGCGTGGGGTGGGTATTTTGGAACTTTACATGTACACTTTAAAAATCAGTATCAAAGAATGAAGTTGCTACCCTCTATCTGAGGTTATGATTCTAGAGCCCCTTTTACAGACAGCGTCATCATTAAAGGGTTTTCACTACTTGGTTACGAGAAAGTTGAAGGGAATAGCTCTCATTGGATATATAGTGTATGCCAGGTGTTGAGCGAACTTTTGGACATGTCATCTAATTAAGTCTTGACAGCTACTTGTGAGAGTTTTACCACAAACAACATTACAAAGAGGCCTCATTGTATTAATATAAGCTTTCACCCACTGCTTATTTAAGGAAGGGAAGCAAAACATATCTTAGGCCTAGATATGAAGTCATCTCTCAAAAGAGGCAATTTACCTTTCCTTTCAGAAACAGCAAGGAAAAATCTTTTTGCCATGGGAATTTAAGTGAAAATACTTGCATCTTCTGTAGTTGCAATGGTAAAATGAATCTGTTTATAATTATTAGTGGCTATGACTCACTGTAGGGCTTACTGTGGGAAGTGTATGCAACTGCATTCGTCACTATGATTATGAATATTTGTGACTCTTTTCCCACACATCCTTTGATTCTTTATTTCTGAGAATGGTACAGACATTAAATTTTTATGGATTTTTTTGGCTTGAACATTAACACTTGTATTCTTTAAAATAATTATGTTTCAGTTGGTAATGACAGTTAATATCAGGACCTTTTTTGAGGTTCTTATTCTTTAAGCTCTGGAGTTCTTTTTAATAAGAGCCAAGCTTTTAGTGGTAACTTCAAGAATGCCTTCTATAATTCAAACATGATGAGATCTTAATTAACTTTTATTACTGAACTTTGTTTTCCTCCTTAACAATTGTCCTAGGCTTCTGTGTATCCTTCAATGTGGATGTGAAAAATTCAATGAGTTTCAGTGGCCCAGTGGAAGACATGTTTGGATATACTGTTCAACAGTATGCAAATGAAGAAGGAAAATGGTAAGCCAGTGTTTTTGCTGTTGTGTAGTTATTTTACAATGTAATGGAAAACATTACTTGTCCACAGTTTGTTTTATGGAAGAAACATCAATGGAGGGGAACTTTTATACTATAAAATGCAGTCTAGTCATTTGGTAATGAAAACTGACCTTAAGTAAAAGAAAAAAAAAGTTCCTTGGAATTTTAGAGGAAGTGCTTAATGATGTCTGCTGAAGCCCGGATTGACCTCAAGGAATGAATGTTACTTTGTCAAGGGTGTCTTAATTGTTCCTATTTTGGAGTAACTTGAATACACTAGACTGAAATTCAGTAGGAAGGGGTGGGAGGAAGATGAGATGGCATCCTGAAATGGTTAATACTGCTTCCATAAATTAGGGCTTACATTTTTAGTGTTTTGCTGAGTTTGATCTTTTGCTGAGATTGGTCCAATGTTTATAACGAATCTTGTTGGAGTTCTGTTACACAATTTAAAGCCTGTTACTAGTTGGTTAAATCCATTTTAATTAGGATTTTAAAGGCATATTCAAGTTGTTGAAAATTACAAAATATGAATTTCAGAGCTTTTTTGCCTCATATTTAATGTAATATAGCAAATATGACTTTCTAAAATTGGGTATCTTAGAAAAATGAACAGAAATTTGTTAAACTTTGCTTCAGTTTAATAATTTAAACCAAGGGGCCAGGGATTTAGCTCAGTGGTTCACAAGTGCTGCTTCACAAGCATAAGGTCCTAAGTTTGATCCCTGGTACCGATGATGATGATGATGATGATGATTAATATAATTTAAACCAAACAAACCCATTTTTCTAGCAACTACAATAATAAAATGTTCACTTAGACAACAATGATCTCTCAGTCCACAAGTTATTTCAAAGATAAAAAGATGTATTTTGCTTTATCATTTTGAATTGCTTTATTTGAAAATAGCCCACTAAAGACAATCAAAAATAATGTTTTGAGTTCTCACACTTTCAAGTGTGAAGTAGAAATATTATATGTTGGAGGTAATGTGAATTTATGGGGGTGCTTCACTCTTCTACGATGCTTACAAATAGCTCAGATGAGAAATCTAATGAGATCATGAGTTTTTAAATCCCCTGTCTTTCACTCCTCAGTCTACCTCACACTTAAGGTTAAACAGGTAAGGTTGTTCCATTAGACACTAGCTTCTGCCATACTTTGGAGAACATGAGTTCTGTTATTTAGTTTTCTCTAAGAGTAAACACCTTCATAAATCATATTTACTGTGTATGTTTTACAAGAGTATCCACCTAAGACTTAGAATTTTAAAGTTATCTCAACCCCTCTTTTTCTTTGGTGATAGTAACCCAAAGTACTTGTTAAAGTGCTACTTATATACTAAAAACATATTGCTTTAATTCTTTTGTAAGAATTAAAAGTTAATAGAAAAGGTAGTCCTATGTCCCCTTTCCCTTTCAGGAGGAGTTTACTGTGAAGTAGAATTTACTTTATGTCTCTGGCTTAGAAGCCACATTTTTCTCAGTAGCAGAACATGTTATATCCTGATTAATATCAGTTATTGTTCATTATAGTTAGCATGAACTGAAACATTCAAGTAATTGTGATATGGGTCAGAAGAATTAAAAAAGAACACAATTGACTTAATAATTGTGCCTTGAAGAGAAGACACTTAAATATCCTGTGCAGTGTACAAAGCCTTCCAGATTTCCAGATTTAGTGGTAGTCACCAGCAGGCATCTCAACCAAATGGGAAGATGTAAAATGTGGCTTGGGGCTTTCATGCCTAACCTTTTAATTTCCATTCAAGCAACCTCTCCTGGGGATTTTAGTGACTTCAGTGTCTCTGTCCTCATAAAGTAGATTTTTCAAGTTATAGATCCCTCACTACCCAGTCTTCAACCCAATGTGTATAAAAATATGTCATGTTCCTACCTCTTCCTTAAAAAAGATTCTGTTTTATGCCAGATAGGTACCAGTGGTTCATGTGACTGAAGCCTTCATTCCAATATTTGTGTCTCTTAAATAAAACTTATTCTAGCTTGAAGGGAGAAATCCTTCTCAAATTTTTTGTTATAGTTTTTTTGTTTGTTTGTTTGTTTGTTTTTGTACTGGGGATTGAACTCAGCCCTTTGTGCTTGCAAGGCAGGCTACAGAACCACTGAGCCAAATCCCCAGCCCCAAATATGAAATAAGTATTGATACTCAATTTTTATTAATATTTCTAAAATTTGTCATTCTTTTGGTACTGGGAATCGAACCTAGGCCCTTGTGCTTGCAAGGCAGGCTGTGGAACACTGATCCAAGAACCCAGCCCAATTCTCTTAAAGATTTTTAACATAATGTTTATTTTACATTTCTCATAAAACCTTTGAAACTGAAATTTTATATTTGCTAAGCTTCTTCTATTTTGGCTCATTTCATTATCACCCCTAACTTTCATGACCAGAGCACCGCAGCTACTGAGGTCAGTTAATGAATGAGTTTCACTCTCCAAGATTACACTTTCTCCACTGAACTTTTAAATTATCTGACAAGGCATGCATGGCACTCTGGAATAACTTTGGTTTGCTGAGTGTAACTTTTGCTTTGTTTGTGTTAGAAATAAAGAAAAAGTTAAGTAAAAAGGATAGTAATAAAATACTGCAAATATGAGATACCAGTCTTCAGAAAACTATCCTTTCTGGAGGAGGCACATAAAAATAACAGAGATATCAGAGACTAGCTACCCTTCTTATAAGTGTAATAATAGTCATAAGAACAAGAATAGCTTATTTTGAACAGCAAAAGTTTCTCAGTTTACCAAATTTTATTATACAGTGCTTGGAGCTTTTTCGTAGAGAAAAGATGTTTCTCTGACTTTGATCATTGAGTTCATCCATCAGGTGTTTCTTTAGAGATTAGTAATAGTATTCAGGACATTTAAAAAAATTTTAATATACAAATCATTGTAAAAATGGTACAGGAAAAACAAAATCCAATATAAATAAAATACAGTAAAGCCAATTTACATTAAAATTTAAAATAATATTACCAATAGTTCATGAAACTGTGCCTTAGATTGTCATATTAATCCTGAGGTTTTTGTGCAGATATTATCAACATTATCTACATTTTCTAGACAGGAAGCTGGGATTCAGAAGATGAATTTTGACACACTTTATATAGCAAACATGTGATGAAGCCAGGGTGTAGGACAATAGCTGTACTACTTTCAGTCAGTTCTTTTCCTCTAAGAAGGATTCTCTAGATTAGCACCTCACTTTGAAGAAATACCTTCTATGTTATCTAAAGGCATGCATGGCATCCCATTAATGCAGGATGTCCAACTTCTAAAATGCAAAGTGATTTCACAATTCAGACCTCTTAGATGGTCATATGAGTCTAAAATTTCCAGGTCTGTTTTATTGAGATTCTTAGCGTGTTTGACATACTCATTCATTCAATAAATATTTATTAAATGTCTACTTTGTGGCTGGAATTGTTATATGTTCTAAGGAGCTACGGTGAACAAAGTAAATAAAAATCCGTGCTGTTAAGTTTATATTTTACTGGTGAGGGAGGAACACAAAGGATAAACTTGAAACATAGGTGTGTTATATAGCAGAAGGTGATCAGTACTCTGAGGGGAAAGAAAAGCAGAGCAGTCTTGGGATTGAGCTCAGTGACAATGCACCTGCCTGGCAAGTGCAAGGTCCTGAGTTCAATCCACAGTACCAAAACAACACAACAACAACAAAAAGACAGTAGAGTAGGATACTGGAATTGAGAATGGTGGAAATTCCTGAAATTTCATTAACCCTATGCTCATACATTTCTTGAATCTTGTTATTTTTATGCAGTTTGGAACAGGGAGGGTTACTTAGGATTAAAGTGATAAGATATATGTAATTTTAAGAACCACATGCTTTTTGCCAGAGGAAACAGCAAGTAGAAGAATACCCAAAATAGTTCTATATCAAATCCTGATACTCAATTTCTGACTATTGTTACTGGGCAGTCTTGTTCTAGAGATAGGTTACCAAATAAATGATACCAGGTTTTGGAGAGCCAGGAATTGGTTTCCAGGCTCTTTCTGTTTCCAACCAATAAATGAACTAAACCAGCAAAAGTGGTGACAAAGTTTATTTGAAAAGTGAAGGGTAAGAGAGAAACTGGCTTTGCACAGTGGGTAAAGGAAAGGAAAAATTAAAAACCAAAATAAAATAAGACCCTGGAGAACACAAGGCAGGCTATTGTGAGGAAAGCCACGGGAGCGTGCTTTCAGTGGCCTCCCATCTATTTAGTCCACACATCACGGGTACCCAGGCATATATGAGGCCTTGGGAATTATTTGGTGTGTGTGTCCTAGAATCTGGTCACACTTATTTTATCAGCCAGCTTTTCTACACCCTGTCTTCCTGCCTCAGTATTGGTCCCAACCCTCAAATTTAACTGTCTTAATCCCGGACTACTACATCCTACCATTTTCTGAGCCACACATCTCAGTCTTTATTTGTCCCGGAGTATAAAACAAGCCATGAATTTAGCTACTGTGTTGGGTCATTTTCCAATTATCACTCTTTTCTGAGTGATGTCTATTGCCCTGGAGATCAAATGCCATCTCTCCCTTCCTGCTCCATTGCATATGGAAGCTTTATCTGCGCTCTGTCAAGCTGTACTTCCTCCTCATTGATGTTCAATCATCGTTCTCCTGTCTCCACAATCTGCTCTTCATTCTACTGTTCAGGTTCACCTTTCATCTATGATACTAAATTTCCTCCAGTTAATAGCACATGGGTTCTCCTCTACACACTTACATTTGTTCTTTTCATATGGTAGAATTTTAGAATTTGAAAAGACTTATAAAATCATATCCTAAAACATCCCTACTCTGCTATACCCTACCTTATCTTGGTCAGTGGAGCCTGACCAGTCTGTTCCAATTTAAATTACTCTTCACAAGCTCATCATCATCCTACTACTGCTTCTTCCTTAAAACTCACCAAATACTATTTTCCAAGAAGAAAGTGAAGAAGAG